AGGAAAAACATTACAATCTACGACGCCGTCAATGGGCACCAAAAGTCGGGGAGTGGGTATGGAAACGCGAATGTCCACTCTCCAATAAAGCAGCCGCGTTCAACGCGAAACTCGCGCCAAAATTTCGGGGCCCCCTCGAGGTGCGCAAAATTATTTCCTCCGTAATAGTAGACCTGCGCGATAAGAGCGGCAAGTGGATACGTCATATCCACTGTGACGTTGCACGATGTGCACGTCACGGTCTTCGCCACTCAAACTTTTTGCGCGCGTACTAGTTTGTAGTTTTCAGGAAGAAGAGACCGGGAGACCCGTTTTGGGCAGCGTGGCGCCATCCGCCGTTGCGGCGAAGCGCCCCGATCTAGGGGGCCGCAAGTCGAAGCCGCGGAAATGATCCCGGCACTGTGAGGCCGAGAGAACGAGCGAGCGTGGATGTCCGGCGAGGACTTGCGAGCGAGAGCGACGGTCCGGCGAGGACCCAGGGCGGATTGTGAGCGAGGGCGGCGGCCCTACAAGCCCTGGCGAGGCCAAAGGACTGAGGATTGGCGAGACGTGGGCGGCCGGCAATCCCGACGAGGTAACAGGTGGCAGCGAGGGCGGAGGGTCGCGTATCGAGTAATTGTGAGAGAGGAGCGTATGATCCGATGGTGGTCTACGCGTCCTTGCCGTGAATCTTTCGGAATTGTTGTCGTGAATCCTTCGGGATTGTTGTCGTGGATCCTTCGGGATTGTTAAAAGTCGGGTCTAACATACCCCGCCCGTCGCTGCCCGTAGAAACGTGGGACTTCTTTTCTTCTCGATTCAACCGTAGTATAAGTACGGGCGATCGGAGGGACAATTACTTGTCGCGGATTACGGTAGCTCTTTTGCGCGTCCGATTATAGGTCGGCCAGGCCCCACAGTCACCCCGTTAACTTGCGTGTTAGATTCGGCGGTAATTATAGAGGCATACCGCGACCCCCGCGTGTTAATTGTACGCCCGGCCACGCCCGCGGGAGGTTTTCCAATCACGTGCCAAGGACGTGAGACCCGCGTGGTGCTTAGATGTGCAGTGCTGTTTGCGTTTCGATTTGGTAAATACAATCTCTGGCTGGCGAATAATATCTTACTTTGCGGATCATATTTCTATGTTGCGGATATCCTATTTAGAGTTTTGCGTTTCTATTCTATTTTGCGGATTATATTGCTATTTTGCGAATAATAGTTTCTCCTTTGCGGATCATAGTTCTTTGCGGATCATATTTCTTACGAATAATATATTATTGAGAGTTTGCTTCGCGGATAATAATTCTAGGTCATATTCCGTTTTCGGGTAATATTTCTATCTTTTGGACCCTATCTAGAGATCGGCGTTTCTTGATCGCGGGGAATAGTTAGCGTGAGGCGTGTATTTGTTGAAGACCCCTTAAAGAGTCGTCGCGTGTATCTTTCGTGAAAAGTAATGGGATTCTATCCCGTCCTGTTGTGCAAATACAATTTCTGATATCTATTTTCTGCAGATTCTTTTTTTGTTTCGCCTAACCTCTGTCAAGGTCTCCTCGAGTTACCCGGTCATTGAACTACGACCCTCTGCCGTTGATGGAGCAGCCGCCGCGAGCGGTCAGAGCTGTGTTATTCGGTTTGGAGCCTTACGAGGATAGAAAGAATCGTTAGCGTAGATTATCTAGGATTATTCGGAGTCACTTCGCGCGTTTCGAGTTATTTGGAGCAAAAAGTGGTGTGGCCTTCTCCACACCTGGCGCCCAACACATTTCGCGTTCGTATCCGGCTCTGACACCCGCTCTACATCATTGTGACGCTGGGCTGTGTACCGTGGTGTATAACCGCCACGCGGCAGTATAAAATAGCGTCGCACCACGTCCAAGACTTAAAATCGGTCCCCTCTCCTGCGACCGAAAACAAGGACAACGAGAGCGACGCCGAGACCGACGCCGGCGAAAACAACGATCATAACATCGAGGCTAACAGCAATACCGACACAGAAACTGGCAACGATGACAAAACGAATGCGGAGGACGATGACAACAATAACGAAGCAGATTCGGAGGACGACGACGAAGTTAAAGTTTAGGCAAAAATAATTGCCCCACTCCAGAAATGGTAAATAAATACCGGCGCCGAGAACGAAAGCTTATAGACAAACCATGGCAACCGACCGGAGCGAGTCTACGATTAAAAGTGATATCCTCGCCGATATCGAGAAGCTCCTGGCAGAGCCGATGAAGTACGATCCGGTCTGTCCAGGATTCGGGACCACATGGACGAAACTCTTTGCCCCGAGTTCCGCCGCCACCGCCACCGCCATTACCGAGAGCGTTAGGCCTGCAGTCGCACCGCCAACACCCAAAAACGTGCCGACGGTCGGCTGCACGGTACAGCGGTCCGACATACAGCAACGGCGAAAGTTGGAGTGGCTCACCACCCCGCCACCTCCACTAAACCGGACGAAACCACGGCACGCACGTAACGCACTGCCGAAAATCACCAACATCGAAAAAACGAATATTGATCTTTCGACCGTACTTGGTCGTCCGACGACCGTACCTCCGGCACCGACACCAACCAACAACCCGCTGGCCGCGACGAGTCCTCCGCCGCCACCGATAACCGGCTCGGCACTACCAGAACCAGCCACGGCAAAGATCCCCGCGCCGCCTTCACCGCAACCAGCACCGGCCGATGTCCGGCCCGTGCGGGCAGAAAGGACGAAACTACCGCCCCGATCCCCGTGCAGGTTAAACCCGGGCACATCATTTGGGTGCCACATTTCCACGCCCACGTGTCG